GGGACCTGGGATCTTGGATTTGGTCTTCTGCAAGAGAGGGGGAGAGAGAGAGAGAGAGATGGAGGGACTGACTCTCAGGTTCAAAAAGACCGGACCTGGCGCTGGGATGTGCCTTCTTGGTGGGTCTTTTTCTGTGGCTGGCCCTTCTCCTGGTGGTGAACGACATGGGCATGACCTCTTCCTGGGATTCTTCGACCCTGAATCCCTGTTGGACGTGACCTTGCTCGCAGACCAGTTGGGCCGACCTGATCGACATTCTCTTTGTTCCGCATAGTGGACACCTTGGACGCCTGGTCTGGGAGGAGCCATACGGTGGTGTCGGTTGTCGGGAAGTAGGATTTTGAGGGTAAGGGAAGGTGGGTTGGCTGTGAGGAGGAAGAGGGGCGAGGCCAAAGGCGGCCAAGGAGGAAGAGGAGGAGGGGTGAGGGTAGGCCATGATGGTAGTAGTGGGGGAAGGGGGGCTAGTTGTATGCGGTCAGATGAGAGCCCATGGCAAGGCTCGTTCGACGGCCTAGAGGGAGGATGGAAGGAGCGAAAAGGTAGCCAGGGAAAGGAAGTGAGGGGAAAGGAAGTGAGCGAAGAGTCGCAGGAGGGCGATAGATGAATGGAAGAGGAGGGAGGATCATCAAGGATAGGAAGGAAGAAGAACGAGAACGAGAACGAGGAAAAAAAAAAAAAAAAAAAAAAAAGGGAGAAGACATTGGGTGGAGGGAATCGGGACATCGGGACATCGGGAAGGGAGGGAGGAAGCGAGGAGCCCAAGTGGAAAAGAGGACTCGACTCAGACCTGTCTACCTGGCCCAGAGTTGAAATCCATTTCGAGTGTGAAAGAGGGAATCGCCATCGCCCTGGACGCGACAGTGACTGTGTGAGGCTGAGTTTCAAAGCTTGGGCTAAATCGCGGCACACCGACCACTCGACATTCACTAATTGGAATCAAGGTTCGATTGGGGGGGTCACGAGTCACGAGGTTGGGTGAAATGGTGAAAGCACCACTGACATCAAGCTAGATTGTTCTTTCATATTCAAAGTGGTAACCACTCGAGTGCTTGCTGTGGTTAGAGAGGAACCGAAGGCCTTCGGAGTCAAGAGGTTGGAAGGAGTGAGTAGTGGATGGGATTCCTGATCCTCGCCCCACTTTCTCCCCCGCTCTTTCTTCTCTCCCTCTCTCTCTTCTCTCGCCTTGGCCGCCGCCCTCCCCCGCAAGTGGGAGTCTGCCCCTCGGATGCGCGGCGTCGATCAGGCTCCGACTGCGTGCGTGATTTGCGATGGGGTGAATCATAATAAGATGGATGGGTGATGGATACGATTGCCCGTCGCTCGCTCGATTTCGAATCCCATCTCGCCAGTCCCGGTAGTCACAGCTGGTGTGCTTAGTAGTGCATAGCGAGTGTGACCATCAAGATTGGGGTACAAACCGAGCAAGTGTGAGGTTGGACGGTAACGAATGCATCTGGATGTGAAAACCATTCGAATGCGCGCCGCCGCCCTCACCGTGACCCTTCTTGGGTTCTGGGCTCTGGCTTCCTCATCGATCTGTTTTGGGCCACTCTGTCTCTGTCTCTCTCTCTGTCTCTCTATCTCTCTCTCTGCCTCTCTCACTGTCTTCTGCCTCGCTCTCTCTCTCTCTCTCTCTCTCTCTCTCTCTCTCCGCATTGGGTTCTCCCCTCTCCCCTCTCCCCTCTCCCCTCTCTCTCCCCGCCTTGTCTTCCTCTCCTTTTCACCTGACAGTCGTCGGTTCGATCAGGCACACCCCCTTCGCTTGCTCCCCTCCTCGCCCTCTCTCCCATCACCGGTCTCCCCCGCCCCCCCCCTTCTCCCTTCATCCTCATCCTTCTTCGCCATCATCGTAACCACCTTCCTACGCCTTTCCGCCCTTCTTCCTTCATCGTCCAAACTTGATCCCACGCCCTCTACCCTTCCCCTTCCTTCCCGTTTCCACCCCTTCTCACCTTCTCTACTTTCCCTCGAGACTCTCCCCTTCTTCTTCATCCACCTCTGTCTCCTCTCTTCTCACCTCTCTCTGCTCACTCTCTTTAGACCATACCCCCCCTGTGGCATCCGACCATGAACCAGCCGAACGCTCGTCGTCGTCGTCCCACCGCCCTCCTCTCCCTTCTCCTCCTCACCCTCCTCACTTGCGACCCCGCCAATGCCCAACTCACAGGCTCAGCCCTGAGCTTGGACTTCGGTGGTGGCTCCAACCCCGTCGCTTCCACCCCCTCCTCGTCCGCCGCACCATCCTCGACCATCTCAAACTCTCCCGCCACCTCTCCTCTCCCCTCAGATTCGGTCGGTCCCGCCACGGTCTCCACCTCTCCCCTCCCCTCGCCGGGCTCGGTCTCGATCCAGTCCACCAACTCGGTCACCAACGCCCCCATAACCCAGTCCGTCACCCACCTCGCCCCCAAGCCGCTCACTTCTTCCACGTCCTACGACGTCATGGCCATCCCTTCCAACCTCCCCAACGTCACGAGGACCGCCTCCTCCAACTTCACCCTCCCTTCCCCCGTCGCCGTCGCCACCTTCACCTCCCTCCCAAAGATCGACTCGAGCCCTTACCAGGTCGTCCTCGCCAACCAGAACGGCCTCCCCACCTTCGAGTGGAACCTCGCCGCCGAATCCGTCTCGCAGTCCCAAAAGCAGCAGATCTGCGACTCGCAAGTCTCTTTCTGCGCCACCTCGGGCTGCTCCGACCCCAAGGCCAAGCTCACCAACTTTTGCGAGACGGAGTACATGGGCACCGCCTGCTACTGCTCGTCCGGCTCCTCGAGGCTCTCCCAGTACAACTGGCCCGTCATGCTCGCCGACTGCAGAGGTAGGAACATCGCCTGCAAGGACGCCTGCCTCAAACCGAATTCGGGGACCGTGGACAAGAACAAGTGCACCCAGGCCTGCGACGCCAACTTTGGCAACAACTGCGGAAACCCGGGCCAGTACGCCGCCAACTACGCCGTCAGGAAGGAGGGTCAGAAGCCCAACTACGAGATCATCCAAGGCGGCACCGCCGCCAACTCGGCCTCTCCCCTCTTGGCCAGCCACTCGGCCATCGTCCTCCTCGCTGCCTTCTCCGTCAGCGCCCTCTTCGTCCTGGCCTGAGAAAAAGGGCGGGCGAGTGTCTTTCCGCGCGTCGCGGGGACGCTCTCTCGGTGCAGGCTTGTCTCTCAAGGATGACAGGGATCTGTCCTCAAACGACATCCCTCGGACAGGCCGCCGATCCCCTTTCGTCGATCCTCTTCCTTTCTTTCTTTCTTTACACTCTCTGTATACCCCCACCCGCTTTATGAAACAATAGGGAGGAGGAAGATGGTCGGAGGCTAAACGCAAGGTCCGGAAGGTCGATCGCAGGCGTCCCTCCTCCTTACTTCTTATTCCTGCGGTAGATCAACTCCCATCCACGACCACCCTTCTTCCCTTGGCAAACATATCAATCACACACGCTTGTCTTGCTCACTTTGCCCTCCCCTTTTGCCGATCTTACCGTGGTTTTTTTTTTCTTCCTTCTTTTTTCCCCACAAGGTTTCTGTATTCAATTATTTTAAATCATTTCCCTCTTCGCCAGATTTCATCTCCCCCTCGACGGCTTACTTGACGCAGCCTCAGGTACCCACCAGGTCACCCATCTTTCAACTCACTATGCAGCCGTCATCTTCGGAACCTCTTCCGTCTAATTCGCCTTGGAGCAGTGTGTTTGAGAGAGAGAGAGGGAGGGGGGGGGGGGGGGGGGGGGGGGGGCAAAGGGACCAAGGAAGAAAGATGGAAGGGGAACCTCGTACCCCACCCATCCCTTCCCAAATCGCCCCCCTTCACCATGACAACTCCCCCCTGCTTTCATTTGGTACGCTAGACGGACATTTGCCTTACCCCCTTGATCCTCCTTCCCTGAGAAAAGGAAAGATGCACGAGGGAAAAAGTTGTAATGGATCATGATAGGATCGGGTCTCCCGACCCTTTTCCTCACATTCCTCGGCCACTCTTCCTTTACCTCTCTTGGTCTAGCGTTCTCTGACATGGTTCTGAGAGACGAACTTGGTTTTTTTTTCTTATTTATTCTTTTTTTTTTTTTTTTTTTTTGGCTTGGGTTTCTTGGGGAGGAAAACATAAAAGCAATTGGTCCTAAAAGGTGAATTTCAGTATGATAGATTATATTGACAATAAAGAGGGCGAGAAACATAACCGTCCCGGCTAGCTCAGTCGGTAGAGCGTCAGACTCTTATCACGAGAGCCTCCAAGGATGACCTTGGGCACATCTGAATGTCGAGGGTTCGAGCCCCTCGTTGGGAGTATTTTTTTCGCGAACACTCCTCTTCTTTTTTGATGCTCTTCCTTTCCTTAGGTAAGAACACCATGCTCTTTCAGCTTCCGACTCGCGAGGTTGCTCTCGGAAGAAGGGGGGGAAATTCCCAAATGGAGCTGGAGCACTCGCTCCCCCCCCGTGCATCTGTGTCTCATATCCTCCCCTTGAGATCATTGTCTTTCTCTTCTTCCCTTGTGATTTTTTTTTTTTAATATCATTTGATCTTCCTTCCGTCCCTTCTTTCCCCGTCCTTCTCTACTTGCTTGTCATTATCCTCTTTTGACGGAAGGGTGTTCCATTCCCGTTCCGAATCGGTCGGACTTCGGGCCGTCTTCCCTCTCTGTGATTGAAAGCAAGGTAGCTGCAGATCACCGACCTGGTGTCTTTTTCTTTTCCTTTTTTCTTCGCGTAACTACAGATCGAGGGGTGACGTACTTCTTGGGAAAGGTGAGGAAGCATAGGATGGTGGGAGGGGAGACCCGGAAAGGGTGAAAAGAAAAAGAAAGAAAGAAAGAAAGAAAGAAAGAAAGAAAGAAAGAAAAAGAAACCAAAGTCGAGGAAGGACCACGAGCATTTGCGAAGGTAAGGCAAAAAATACTCCCAACGAGGGGCTCGAACCCTCGACATTCAGATGTGTCCAAGGTCATCCTTGGAGGCTCTCGTGATAAGAGTCTGACGCTCTACCGACTGAGCTAGCCGGGATGGATTGTTGCTTCGAAGGGCCTCACGAAAACGTTATACGTGGTTTTGTAAAATTTCAAAACTGAATGGCAAAGTTCCATTTCCCGTGTCTTCATCAAACGTCAACCTAACGGAAGGAACGAAGAGCGGAAACTTGCTCCCTGGTTGCTTGCTGTACCTACCCGGTAGCCATCATCAACCCCATGCTCGACACACCTCCTTGTCTCGCTTCCAACCTCTACTTTCCAATTCTTTACTTTTTGTCTTGTTTTGTTTTGTTTTGTTTTGTTTTTCTGCGATGTTCGTTCTTCTTCGCCGGCGATGCGGGGGAGGGAGGCGTTTGCACGCTCAGATCAACCTCACTCACCGCCACTCCACCTCGCCTCCTTCCCTCTCGCCTCCCTGTCTCCGTCCCTTCCTCCACCGACCTGCTTCACCCAACCACCCCCACCTTACCTCCTCCACCTCCAGAGCATTCATGCGCACAGCCAGCGTCAAGAGCATTCACCAGCCACAACACACAAAGCCCATTCGCATTCATCGACCCCCTCCCTCCTCGGCGTCCAAAAGCATTCCCTTCCTCCACCCGGGAATCCAACCATTCCATAACGCTTTCTATCTCACCATCACACCCTCAACCCAGGACCGAAACTATTCGCAGGCAGACAGACAGACGGAGCCATGACATCGGACCAACCCTCCTCTGACCGTACTCAACCAGCCGAACAAGCCCAAAACGCTGCGGTTCCGACACTCGAGACGGACCAGGAGATGACTTCGACCGAACAAAGTTCCATTCCCATCCACCCCAACGCCCATCCGGATCAGCCCATGGTCGAGCAAGACGATGGTCAGGAACAGTCACAGCAAGGGGAGGAGCAGCAAGACGAGGCATTAGATCCATCGTCCGATGCCACCTTGCTCGTCGATGGTCAGCAGCAATCATCAAACAACCTTGGAGGTTCAAAGGCGGCAGCGGCGACCTATTCGAATTCGAGTCGCACCGGTCATCCTTTCCCCACCGGAGCTGGGAACCATCACTCCAATTCGGATGACTCCGGCTTCGGTCTCACTGGCTTCGAGAGGAGGGGTGAAGATCGGGTGGGTTCGACGTGGCCTTTTGCTTCCCCATCCCATCCTTCCTTTTTTCGGCCCTTGCACCCACCCCGCCTACTCTCCACATGCGCCATCTCGCTCCATCGCGATTCGTAATGAAAATGCTCCGGCGCTGTTTTCTTTCCCTCCATCTAACCTCATCCAATTCGTCCTCCGCCTCATCCCCTTTCCTTTCTCTCTTTCTTCTTTCTCTAGCTTTTGGACGAGAGGATTCGAGCCCGCTACCTCCAAGGTGAGCCTCGATCAAGCCTTGTTTCAGGACAATTTTGACTCTTTTTTTATTTATTTGGTCTTTTCACCTACGTCACTCCTTTCTGAACACACGTGGTGGTCCTTCCCTCCCCTTCCCTTCCCCACCCTTGCAGAGATCGGAGACATCTTCACTGACGCCTAAAGAGAGGAGGCGGAGCGATAAAGTGAAGAAAGAGGGACGGACCTTCCGTCCCCACCTTTCCTCCTTCACCTGCCATCTCTCCCTTCCTCTTGCCATGGAAGACGACGAACCGACCGAGTGGCCGAAATTCAAAACCATGTTGGATCCGAAGCAAAACCTCGATCCAAATACCTGACCACCTCTCCCTCTCTCGTACTTGTTTTTGGGAGACCACAAAATTACAAAAAAAAAAATTTAAAAAAAAAGTCAAAAAATGAAAATAAAAAAATCTGTACTTGTACCTTACCCACTTGGTTCGAACAACGTTGTCAACCCTCCACTTCCAAACAAAACCCCCTTCCTCACTCCTCCTCGGTCGTCTTCACTTCACTTCCTTCCCGCGCTCGGCCGGGATCCAAGGAAAGCGGGGACTGACTTGCTGGGCGGTTTTTTTTTTTTTTTTTTTTTTTTTCATTTCGGAAGATCGATCGTATAAAAGTTTGGGAAGACGAGCTTTGAGGGGGGTGGAGGGATGGTGTTGTGTGCGCAAAGGGCAAAAAGGAAGGCAGAGGGGGGAGGGAGATGTTTCCTTTTAATTTATCTTTTTCATCCTCATCTCATACTTTCTTCCCCGCCCTTTCCATCAGGGAAGCCCCTTGCCAACCGGTCGACGAAAGCAACTCACCTCATCCTCGATCCCCTTCCTCAGACATTCGGCGATGAACTTTTCCACCTTGCCCACGTTCTTGAGAGCGTGCTTGTCAGCCTGTCCCACCTCGCTCTCGAAGGAGAGGGAAGGTAGGATCTTTGTTCCAGGGGTGACCTTGGTGGCTCCACCTGCCGCCAGACCTCCTTCCAGGGAGTGGTTGTGAAACCCTTGACCTCCTCTGTAGTGACTTTGTACCGAGGTGGATGTCAATCCTCTTGCTTCGTGTTTCCCACCAAGGATCGATGGGGATTTGACTTGAGATGCGATCCTGAAAGTTTGGTTGGTGGTGGGAACGTCTGGACCCCTTTGAGCCTCGGCTGAGACGACGACCGGATTCGGGTCAACGACGAACCCTTGCTCCTCGACCGCTTGTTCCTCTTCATCCTCGGTGAGGCAGATGTGAGCCCTCCTCTTCTCCCCCTCCAGAGCGAGTACGACACCTGCCCTCATGACGAACCCCGTCACCGAAACCTGAAGGGGTAGGCTCATGAAGGCGGGCGAAGGGTAGTTGATCAGCAGGGAGGTCTTGATGGTCAACCTGAACGTCGTGCTTGGCCAGTAGAGGGAGAAGTGAAGCTGTAAGGAAGGCAAGGAGGAGGAGGAGGAGGAGGTGTTGGGTACGCCTCCTCCTCCTTCGAACGGATCCGAACCCAATCCTTCCGATTCTACGACCCCTCCGACGACATCGGTGGGTAGGAAAGCTCCTGGACCGCCGGAATGAGATCGGAAACTCGGTCCGCTGGATCGGTGACCACCACCACCACCACCCGATCTAGGATTGCCTCCGCTGTTGAACGTGGTCGGTGTGAACTGCCTGTGACTACCTCCACCACCTCGGATCGGAGAGAAGGAGGAAGCTTCATCGAAAGAGTTCTGACGGATGGTGGGAGGAGGTAGGCTCTGATGATGTTGCTGCTGCTGCTGTTGCTGTTGGATCTGTTGCCAGTGAGAAAAGTAGCCGACGGGAGAAGGTAGACTCTGTTGATTGGGAGGGTCGTTGGCCAAAGCTTGAGTGAAGGAGTGGATGGAGGAAGCGGAGGAGTGCCTGAGACCCCTTGAAGCCAGAGCTGTGCTCCACTGTTGAGGTGTTCCACCTCCTGGGGTGGAGGCTGACATGACGCTCGGAGGTCCCTGGATCCTCTGGGGAAGGGAGTCGTCATGGTACTGGGTGTAGGTCCTAAGAGGGAGTAGGTTGGGCTGAGAGACCAAGGCTGCCGATGAGGACGGTGCCGCCACGTTGGACCTCCTACCAGGAAAGGAGGAGGCATTCTGATGTTGAAAGGAAGAGGAGTTCCTCCTGGAACCTCCCTCCTGTCCTCCTTGGTCGGTGGTGGTCGCAACAGCCAAGTTGGCGTGAAGGTTTGGATCGTGAGGACCTGTAAAGTCGCTCCAGGTGTCGGTGATGTTCTTGATGACCAGCTCAGGAGCGTGACTTCCGAACTCTAACCCGGAGATGGTGATCTCTCCCAGGAAGGAAGGTCTCTTGGAGCTGCTGGATTGGAGAGCTCGGTTCAACGTTTCGAGCAACCTTTCCGATAGCTGGTCGTCCAACAGAGACCAGTCCAGGTCGAGGGACATGACATTTGGGGGCTGGGGAGGGGATGGACGGAACGGAGCTCTTCCTCTCTCCCTCTCTCCCTCTCTCTCTTCTCCTCTCTCCCTCTCTCTTCTCTTCCCTACCCTTCTTGGTCGTTCCCGCTTTCGGCGTTGTTCGACTTTCCTTGCCGTCGTCGCTCCCGAGCTCTAGCTAGACTTTACCCAGGAGGGCCCTTTCCTATTCCTCCTTCTTCTTCTTCTCTCTCTCTCACTCCTCTTTCGTTCGATGCGGACTTCTAGGCGATCCGCTAGGTCCTGGAAAGGCGAGGGGGGGACTGAGCCGACGAGTTGGAAGAGTGAGAGGATTGGGCGAGATGATGGTTTGGAGCTTCTCCACTTTCCATCCTAACTTTCTCGTACCAACCCCCATTTCGTTGGTTGGGACCGTGTTTCCCCTCCTCGTGTCGGACGTGATCGAGCGACAACTTGGATCTCTTTTCTGGATTTTCCCACTCTTGCTTGGCCTTTTCTCTTCCTTCCTTTCCCCCCCTTCCGACCCAAGCTTCCCTCTACTCAACACGATCCTTCCTCCTCCTATCAAGCTCCTTCCTTCACTCCTCCCTTTCTGCCCCTTCTCCACTTGAAGCCCAGGACGTAAAAGGAAAGGAAAGGGCAAGAGGCGGGAGAGGAATCGATCGGTACGAGATGGACGTCCCTCTATCGTCCGATGCCCTGGATCTCAGCTTTCACCCTCAGGAATCGCAAAACCTCCTGGCGACAGCCTTGATCAGTGGCAAGATCCAACTGATCAATTACGACAAGCTCGATCAACATCCTCCCTCCGACAACGAGGCCAAGGACGAAGAAGGAGGAGAGGAGGAAGACGGAGACGATGGTCAGCAACCTTTGAAAAAGTCCAAGCCATCGCCTCGTAGGGGAGAGAAGCTCTACACCAAGCTTTGGAACACGAGGCCGAGTCAGAAGAGTTGCAGGGGGGTTCACTTTGACCTTCAAGGTTCCTCCCTCTACTCGATCCACAAGGATCGTTCCCTCTTCCAGATCGATACCGAGACGGGTAAGGTAAAGTCCCACTGGAGGAACGCTCACGAGGTCGCTCCTTCCAGGGTTCTTCCCTTGACCGAGAACCTGCTGGCGACGGGAGACGACGATGGTGTCGTCAAGCTCTGGGATCCAAGGAGGCCCACCAAGAACTCTTCCCAAGCTGTCGGAGGAGGGATCGACCCATCGGCTTCCGCTCTGAGGTCCTACACCCATCACTTTGACTGG